GTTTTCATATACATTTTGAAATACTTTCATCAAGATGGTTCACATAAATTTCATGTCATTTGCATAGTCATTGTGTCAAAACATTTACATTCTAGTTCTAGAAAAGTTCACTAAAATTTAAATTAACAACCTGTCCTTCAGAATTAGACCAAAAACAATTATGAAAAAAAGCCCTTTAATAGATCTAATTTGTTGAGAGAGAGATAAGATGGCCAACTGAAGCCAGCTTTCAGCAGAGGCTCCCATCCAGAGGGAGAAATAATGGCCAAAAATAACCTAATAAAGCAGAAGATCAGGAGGTCAGCTGAGACAGAGGATTCATAGGTTCGCATCACCCCTGCTGCAATAAGCTGGGACTCCAAGGAAACAAATTTCAGGTACAAAACCCATTCCAAAGATGACGGCAATCCTTCCTCTTCACCTCTAGGGAGAGTGGCTTGAGGCAAGTAGAGAACAGAGGACATTTTGTTTCGACAAAGGGGACGGAAAAACTGAGGGCTGGGATTCCCTCCACAGAGAGATACTGCTACAAGTCCAGGCAGTCTCTTGCCTAGGCCAAAAGTTGATCTAATATTCTCCCTACCTTCCTGAACTCCCAATCCACCTCTCCTGGAAGACTATCCACTGCAAAATCCAGAGTATTTGGCAGATTTTTGCTAGGGCAAGGCATTTCATGAGCTGTGGGACAGTTGTGCTGAAACTATAATTTTTTTTTTTTTTTTTTTTAGAGAGACAGAGTCTTACTTTATCACCCTCGGTAGAGTGCCATAGTGTCACAGCTCACAGCAACCTCCAACTCCTGGGCTTAGGTGATTCTCTTGCCTCAGCCTCCCGAGTAGCTGGTTAAACTATAATTTTAATAGAGGCAGGGAGTCACAAAGGGAGAGAGACTTGCCCCATGTTGGAAAGAGCACAGCTCAGGTGCACACTACCAACCACCATGGGACCATGGCCCACTGGCTCCCTGGCTCGGCAGCCCACAGTGAGTGGCTTAGCTCCCTGCCAGGCTCCTGCAACTGGCAGCCCACAGCCAGCTATTCCCACCTGGCTCCTGTGACCTGCGCAGCCCATGGCAGAGGACTCTGCCAACCAGCTACTGAGACCAGCAACCTGGGGCTGGCGACTGCCCTTGGACTCCACTTGTTCTCCTGAGACCCTGCAGCCATTGGCTGGTGACTCCTGACTGGCTCTTGAGACCCAGGAGGCCCCCCTCAGGATAGCAACCCTGCCCTCTGGCTTCCCACCTGGCTCCTGTGACCCTTGCAGCCATGGCAATGCCCTCCAGCTCCCTGCTGGCTCCTGTGACCTGCACACAGCAGTACCCCAGACTGGCAGTACTACCCTCGACAGTGGCAGCACCACTGCTGACAGTGGCAGCAGCTCCAGAGTTCCTCCCACTGGGGTCAAATTGAGCTGCCAGTGGACCCCTGCTGCCTAGATGCTGAAGACCTTTTGAACTCTCCCACCTGATCAGTGTTTGTGTCAACTGGGACAATTGGTTTGGAACTCTTGACCTGGACCAATCACCTAGGGACTCACCAAGGTTGTACCCTGGTTGTGTTGCTGTGGGAGTGTGGGATTCTCCCCTTCCAGTTGTCGCCTGTTGGTGAAGGGTAGGATGTCTTAGTTGCTTATATATCTCTACAGCTGAGATTTCAGCCCAAAGCCACTGACTCACTAGAACTGGACAGAGATTAGCTGAATACCAGTCAGCGCCATCTAGCCTCACCACACCAAGCAGGTGCCCAGAGTTTCAGGCAATAGTTCTGACTGGGACATTTGTAAAGCTCTTAGGGAAAAGCCACAATCACCAGTCCTAGTACTTTGGTAAAGAGCCAGTTAATTACAACTCCAGGAGCTTTCAATTCAATTTCACCTTGCCAGCTTCTCTAGCTAAATGGTGAAAAATAATCATGGTGTGGAATCAGGGGAGAAACTCTGGCAACATGAATAATCAGAGTAGATTAACTCCCTCAAGGAATGACAAAGGAAACACAACAGAAGATCCCATTCATAAAGAAATGGCTGAGATTTCAGAAATCGAATTCAGAATTTGGATTGCAAATGAGATTAACAGAATGGGGGTAAAGATGAAATTAGAAATTCAAGGAGCAATTCAGAAGTTGTCTCAAGAATTCAAAGATAAAATCACTAAAGATTTTGACACATTGAGGCAAGAACTTGCAGTTCTCAAAGATCTGAGAAATACAGTAGAATCCCTCAGGAATAGAATGGAGCAGTCAGAAGAAAGGATCTCTGACATTGAAGACAAAGCTTTTGAATGCTCCCAAATGCTCAAAGAGTAAGAGAAGTAGACAGCAAAAATGGATCATTCCCTGAGAGAATTGTGAGATGACTCCAAAAGAACAAACATTCGCCTCATAGGAATCCCCGAAGGAGAAGAGGATGGCCCAAAAGGCACAGATATCTACTCTAGGCATCTTCAAACTACGACCCGCAGGCCACATGCGGCCTGCCTAGGACATTTATCCAGCCTGCTGGGTGTTTTTGCTGCCACTGCCTGTCCTGCTTAGCAGCTGACTCATCCCAGGGCCCGCAGTCCTGCCCTCCAATGGTCTGAGGGACAATGAACTGGCCCCCTGTTTAAACAGTTTGAGGACTCCTGCTCTGCTCCAAAAGATAATTGAGGAGAACTTCCCAAGCATGGCAAGAGATACTGAAATTCAGATAGCAGAAAGTTTCAGAAACCCAGCACAACCCAACCCAAATAAAGCATCTTCTAGACACATTGTAATTAACTTCACCAAAGTTAATATGAAAATTAGAGAAAAAATTAAAGAAAATTCTGCAAACAGCGAGACATAAGAAAATCATAACCTACAAAGGGAAAAATATTAGAACGACTGCAGATCCTTCTGCTGAAACTTTTCAAGCCAGAAGAGAATGGTCAAATTGAGCTTCATTTATGACAGAAAAGTTAAATACTTTAATGACATACACATATTGAAGAAATTTGCCATAACCAAATATCCTCAGACCCATCCTCCATAATGACATAATGACCATCACAATGCTTTACCACCAAAGTAAACTCAAGCTGAAATTCTTGACCAAAACCCAATTTCCACAGTGGTGAAAAGTTTCAAAATGTCCACTGGACTTTCAAAAAACTTGACGCCCAAAATACTACCAGGCTTATCAATATTCTCAATGCATGTGAATGGCTTAAACTATCCTCTTAAGAGGCACAGGTTGGCTGACTGGACACAAAAACTCAGGCCAGATATCTGCTGTACACAAGAATCTCATCTTATCTTAAAGGATAAATATAGACTCAGGGTGAAGGGATGGGCATCTATAATCCAGGTAAACAGAAATCAGAAAAAAGCAGGGATGGCAATTTTATTTGCAGATACACTAGGCTTTAAACCAACAAAAGTAAGAAAAGACAAGGATGGTCTCTTCCTATTTCTTAAGGGAAACACTCAACATGATGAGATGTCAATTATTAACATTTATGCGCCCAACCAGAATGCTCCTCAATTTATAAGGAAGACCCTAACAGACATGAGCAATTTAATATCTTTCAGCATCATAATAGTTGGAGATTTTAACACCTCTTTGTCAGTGTTGGATAGATCCTCCAATAAGAAACTAAGCAAAGAAATTTTAGACTTGAACTTCATCATACAATAATTGAATTTAACAGACATCTACAGAACACTTCATCCTATCAAAATTGAATACACATTCTTCTCTCAGCCCATGGACCATCCTCCAAAATTGATCACATCTTAGGTCACAAGTATAACCTCAGCAAATTTAAAAGTATAGAAATTATTCCTTGTATTTTCTTGGATCATCATGCAATAAAAGATGAACTCACCAGTAACAGGTATCTGCATACTCATACAAAGACATGGAAACTAAATAACCTTATGCTGAATGATAACTGGGTCTTAGATGAGATTAAGAAGGAAATTGCCAAATTTTTGGAACAAAAAATAATGGAGACACAAATTATCAGAACCTGTGACATACTGGAAAAGCAGTCCTAAGAGGGAAATTTATAGTGTTGCAAGCCTTCCTCAAAAGAACAGAAAGAGAGGAAGTCAATAACTTAATGGGATATCTTAAGCAACTGGAGAAAGAAGAACATTCCAACCTCAAACCCAGCCAAAGATAAGAAATAACTAAAATTAGAGCAGAATTAAATGAAATCAAAAACAAAAGTATTATTCAGAATATCAATGAATTAAAAAGTTGGTTTTTTGAAAAAATTCAACAAAATTGATAAACCTTTGGCCAACCTAACTAAAAATAGAAAATTAAAGTCCATATTATCATCAATCAGAAATGACATAGACAAAATAACAATGGACATCTCAGAAATTCAAAAAATACTTAATGAAAACTATAAAAAAAACTTTATTCTCAGAAATACAAAAATCTGAAAGAAATTGACCAATACTTGGAAACACACCAACTTCCTAGACTTAATAAGAAAGAATTGGAAATGCTGAACAGACCTATATCAAGTACTGAAATAGAATCAACTATATGAAATCTCCCAAAAAAGAAGAGTCCGGGACCAGATGGCTTCACATCAGAATTCTACTAAACCTTTACAGAGGAACTAGTACCCATATGATTTAACCTTTTCCAAAACATCAAAAAAAGAAGGAATACTTCCCAACACATTCTATGAAGCAAATATCACCGTGCTACCCAAACCAGGAAAAGACCCAACAAGAAAAGAAAACTATAGACCAATATCTTTAATGAACCTAGATGGAAAATTATTCAATAAGATCCTAGCAAACAGAATCCAGCAACATATCAAATGAATTATGTACCATGACCAAGTGAGTTTTATCCCACAATCTCAAGGTTGGTTCACTATACATAAATCTATAAATATAATACAACACATAAATAAACTAAAAAACAAAAACCATATGATTCTCTTAATAGATACAGAAAAAGCTTTTGACAATATCCAGCATCCTTTCATGATCAGAACACTTAAGAAAATAGGTATAGAAGGGACTTTTCTTAAAATGATAGAGGCCATCTACAGCAAACCCACAGCCAATAAATATCATACTGAATGGTGTAAAATTGAAAATATTTCCACTCAGATCAGGAACCAAGCAAGGTTGCCCATTGTCTCCACTGCTTTTTAACATTGTAATAAAAGTCTTAGCCATTGCAATCAGGCAAGAGACAGAGATCAAGAGTATTCACATAGTGTCAGAGGAGATCAAACTTTCACTCTTCACTGATGATATGATTTTATACCTTGAAAACCCCAGGGACTCAACCACAAAATTTTTAGAAGTGATCAGGGAATACAGTAGCATCTCAGGATATAAAATCAACACTCACAAATCAGTAGCTTTTATATATGCCAATAATAGACAAGCCAAAAAAACAGTCAAGGACTCTATTCCCTTTACAGTTGTGCCAAAGATGAAATATTTGGGAATTTACCTAACAAGAGATGTGAAAAATCTCTATAAAGAGAATTATGAAACTCTGAGAAAAGAAATAGCTGAAGATGTTAACAAATGGAAAAACATACCATGCTCATGGCTAGGAAGAACCAACATTGTTAAAATGTCCATATTACCCAAAGCAATTTATAAATTTAATGCAATCCCTATTAAAGCACCACCATTATACTTTAAAGATCTGGAAAAAGTACTTCATTTTATACAGAAACAGAAAAAAATTCCAATAGTCAGGGCATTACTCAGAAATAAAAACAAATCATGAAGAATTATGCTACCAGACTCCACACTATAGTATAAATCTATAGTGATCCAAACAGCATGTTATTGGTAGAAAAATAGAGAGGTAGATGTATTGAAACAGAATTGAGAACCAAGAAATGAACTCAGACACTTACTGTCATTTGATCTTTGATAAGCCTATCAAAAATGTAAATTGGGGGATTCCCTATTTAACAAATGGTGCTGGGAGAATTGGCTGGCAACTTGTAGAAGACTGAAACTGGACCCACCCCTTTCACCATTAACAAAAATAGACTCTCACTGGATAAAAGATTTAAACTTAAGACACTACGAGAAGTTCTTCACCGAGTTGCCACAGTTTCCTGCTTCAACAGTGCTTGGACGGAAACGGCGCTCATCCCCCATCCCAGCTGGCTGCTCACAGCCAGCCTTCTGACACCTCCTCACCACACCCTCAGACAGTCCCAAGGCCCCCGGTGCCACTCCAGCACCGCACAGCTACCACCTCTCCTCAGCCACTGCCATGACTACCACATCCCCCTTGCAGGTGCGCCAGAACTACCACCAGGACTGGGAGGCCGCCATCAACTGCCAGATCAACCTGGAGCTCTACACCTCCTGCGTCTACCTGTCCATGTCTTACTACTTTGACTGCGATGATGTGGCTTTGAAGAATTTTGCCAAATACTTTCTTCACCAATCTCATGAGAAACTGATGAAGCTGCAGAATTAACAAGGTGGCCGAATCTTCCTTCAGGATATCAAAAAAACAGACTGTGATGACTGGGTGAGTGGGCTGAATGCAATGGAGTGTGTGTTACACTTGGAAAAAAGTGTGAATCAGTCACTACTGGAACTGTACAAACTGGCCACTGACAAAAATGATCCCCACTTGTGTCACTTCATTGAGAAACATTACCTGAATGAGCAGGTGAAATCCATCAAAGAACTGGGTGACCACGTAACCTACCTGTGCAAGATAGGAGTCCCTGAATCTGGCATCGCAGAGTATCTCTTTGACAAGCACACCCTGGGAAACAGTGATAATGAGAGCTAAGCCTTAGGCTAACTTCCCCATAGTCACGGGGTGACTTCCATGATCACCAAGGCAGTGCATGCATGTTGGGGTTTCCTTTACCTTTTCTATAAGTTGTACCAGAACATCCACTTAAATTCTTTCATTTGTACCATTCCTTCAAATAAAGAAATTTGGTACCCCCCACCAAAAAAAAAAAAAAACTTAAGACATGAAACTATAAAGATTCTTGGGTAGAGTGTAGGAGAAACACATGAAGAAATTGGCCTGGGAGAATACTTTAGAGGAGGACCCCCAACGCAATTGAAACAGGATCTAATTAAACTGAAAGTCTTCTGCACAGCCAAGAATACAGTAAGTAAAGCAAGCAGACAGCCCTCAGAATGGGAGAGGATATTTGCAGGTTATGCCTCTGACAAAGGTTTGATAACCAGAATCCAAAGAAAACTCAAACTTATTAATAAGAAAAGAACAAGTAATCCCATTTCATTGTGGGCAAGAGACTTGAACAGAAGCTTCTCTGAAGATGATAGGAGCATGGCCTACAGACACATGAAAAAAATGCTCATCACTTTTAATCATCAGAGAAATGCAAATCAAAACCACTTTGAGATATCATCTAACTCCAGTAAGAATGGCCCACCTAACAACATCCAAAAACTATAGATTTTGGCATGCATGTGGAGAAAAGGGAACACTTCTACACTGCTGGTGGGAGTGCAAGCTAATATGTCCCTTTCCCTGGTATGGGGAATACTAGGGATCTAAAAATAGGCCTGCTATTTGATCCTACAATTCCTCTACTAAGTGTATATCCAAAAGATGAAAAATCACTTTATAACAAAGATATTTGCACCAGATTGTTCAGTGCAGCTCAATTTATAATATCCAAGTCATAGAAGAAGCCCAAATGCCCAATGACCCATCAATGGATTAATAAATTGTGGTATATGTATACCATGGAATATTATGCAGTCTTAAAAAGGATGAAGACTTTACCTCTTTTATGTTTACATGTACGGAGGTGGAACATATCCAATTTAGTAAAGGATCTCAGGAATGGAAGAAAAAAATATCCAAGGTACTCAGGTCTATTATGAAACCAATTTACAATCACTCACGCTTTCATATGAAGAATAAGATCACAAGTATGGCCCAAGATGAAGGAGAGAGGAGAGGGGATGGGGGGAAAGTTAGATCAAGGGAGGGTGAATGGTGGGATCACACCTATGGTGCATAATGCAAGGGTACGTGTCAGATCTATTAAGTATAGAGTATAAATGTCTTAACATAATAATTAAGTAAATGAGTAAATGAGATATATATTAACCAGTATGATATAAGCATTCCTAATTCTATATGAAATCAGCACATTGTACCCCATAAATGGATTAAGGTATACATGATCTGTATGTTTATGATTTAATAAAAAATAAACTTTAATAAGTAAAAACAAAAATCTAATTTGTTCATGTTATTGTCCTCTCTCCTAGATGCAAGGTATCAATGGCACCATTCTGCTGTACTGTCTCGACAATGCCTCTAAAAGACAGACCATCTGTAAATATTTACTAAACAAACACCAATTACCTTGTTGAAAGCAAAGATCACTTGTAAGTCTTTAGGTATAACAATAATTTATACCTACTAGGTCTAGTTATATGCTGTTCAAGACACTAATCCTCACTTCAACACCAGGAGAGAGGTACTTTTACCCCTATTTTATGTATAAGAGTCCTGATCTGGAGAAGATCCATCAGCCATTCAATGTCACAAAGTCACAAGCCAGAATTTGAACACAGATAATCTAATATCAAAGCCTACACTCACTGACCTACTGAAAGAGAACCCCATACAGTACTAAGGAAATTCTGATATTTCTCTTTAAAGTAAGTTAAGTTGGATTTCTTATGCTTGAGACAGAAGTCAAAAATAAAGACAAAGGGGGCCAGGTATAGTGGTAGCTCATGCCTATAAACCCAGAACTCTGAGTGGCCGAGGAGGGTGGATCTTTTGAGTTCAGGAGTTCAAGACCAGCCTGAGCAAGAGTGATACCCTGTCTCTACTAAAAATAGAAAAACTAGCTAGGTGTGGTGGCAGGAATATGTACTCCCAGCTACTTGGGAGGCTGAGGGAGGGAGTTGCTTGAGCCCAAGAGTTCAAGGTTGCTGTGCGCTATGAAGCCACCGCACTCTACCCAGGGCAACAGAGTGAGACTATCTCAAAAAAAAAAAAAAAAAAAAGTAAAAAGAAAAAAGAAAAAGGAAGAAAGAAAAGATAAGATAAAGGAAAAGGGGAAATCATATCATTCAAATTTAGGTGGCAACCCTGACAAATTGGTCTTTTTTACATGATAAAACCATTCAAAATTAGTATAATTGTCTTTGGCTTTTTGGATTTCAAGTACTGAGATAATAGCCCATGAGTATTTGAGTACTTAAAATAATTTGAAATAGTCTTCGCAGTCCTCATTGAGAAGAGCATCACTGCTCCTTATGACAGATGGTTGGCAGCCACCACCATACCCTATGGCAACCATGATAGTGTTAATCATATTGCACTATAGCAAGGAGTCCTGCAACTCTAACACGATAAATTTTTATTGTGATTCTCCAGCGTAACTAAGTAGATGTAATCACTCACATCAAAAACATTTTCTTTATCTCTTTCCATACTTTCCTAGCATTAAGTTAATAATTTAAATGGTGCTTCAAAACTTTGACCAACTGCCTACTACAGATTTGAAGCAATGGAAAAGGCCAAGAAATTCCAGAAAGCAAAAATACCATGGAAAATTAAATAGGTGAATAGATCTAATGTTACCTCATAAGTGAGACCTCATAGGTAGGTGCACATACATGATACTCAAGTGTGATGCTAAATGAACTTGTGAAAAAACACATATGATTTGAGAGCACTGCTCATGCAGCTCACTTTCTTTTTGTCTCTACCACACTAGAAGTAGAAAAGTTGGAGAAAACATGAATGTGTTTTACATTTTAATCATCATGAACCCTAAAATACCTTTATTTTGTCACCCACTTTCCAGCAGTTTATTGATTCAGGAGAAACAGAAATTAGCATACTAGCAAAGAAAACTAGCAGTCATGGCATGTTGGACTTTGGGAATGCCTTGTCTTTCTTTCTAACCAATATTTATATTTCAAAATATATGTATATATATTTAAATATGGCTATCTAAATACATATTCTCATGGACACATGGTTCCCACAGCGTTGTTTTGTTGTTGTCCACTCATCTGTGCAATAATTGAGATCATTTAGGAGTCTTTGGCTGTGTGGGTTAGGAGGACAATATCTATTTTAAGATGGTTTGTTTTACCTTTACTGTCATCCTCACAGCCTCTGTTTTGGTTTGTTTGTTTGTTTATTTTTGCATATTTGTCCCTTTGGTTCCATAGCAATAACATTATAAATACGTACACAAATGTGAAGGAAAGGGGAAGAGATCTCCGTGAGCAAGCCAGGTAAGGAGCAAACAGGATGCACCTTGCACAAAATGTATCCAAAGCTGACTCGATGTCACTCAAACCACACAGTATCTTTTCTGAATTTGTTTTCATTCCCTGCAGAGAGGTTATTCTTGATGTCCCTTAGCTGCCTTTCATATGTGTGAAAATTCTACAAAGAGAGATGTGGTTGCAAACCTCCTAAAAGTTGTTTCCTTTAGGAAGACATCCTGACAAACTTAAAAAACAAAACAAAACAAAACAAACAAACATAAAAAAACCAACAATCATTCAATCCTCTCCTCTACCCTAGAAAACTCAATCTTTCACCCTTTCCAACTTGATTTGGTTTCTTTTATAGGAGGTTAATTGATGCTGCACAGCTTGTCCAGCTCAGATATGAACCTAGAGAAAGGGGGAAAAAAAAAACAGATTGTGAACAGAACACTGTGTTTCACACTCCGTCTCCCGTGGGGTGATGTGATGAACTCATCATGTAGCAATCTACTAGGTCACAGTGAATAATTAAGACACTCGTTACAGTGGTATGTGTGGTGCTATCCTGTAGTGATTCTGAAGGGATTTCCATAAATTCAAGAAAAGGTCCTTAAAAAAAAACCCCTAATTTAAAATCCACATTGTGGCTAATTAAGATCACAGTGGCTCAAAGTAATGCACGATTTCACATCCAGTGTGTTGATAATGTCCCATTTTGAGTGCAGGATGAGAAAAATCTTATCTTTTTTTCCTCCTATCCTCTTTCAATATCTGGAAAAACAACACAGACATACCTCACAGCTTTAGTGATCAGCAGGACCAAAACAGAAAAAAAAAAAGCATACGACATTTTGCACATACTGGGTACCAATGATGTGATCATGTCATAAAAGAAGTTTAAAATACCACGGCGGGTAGGGGGAATTATGGTTGGCCAAAAACAAGACTCCCCTGACCGAAGTGTGGGGCTGATTAATATTAGAAAACTTAGAGAGGGATGGTGAGGAATTTCTTTCAGGAGAGAGGGGGATTTTTTGTTTTGTTTTGTTTTTCTTAATAGAAGTGAAGACTCACATCTGTCAGGCACAGTTTATGTGCTCACCTGATGAAAACAAAGCATCACCTTGCAATATTTCCCATCTCTAAGGTGTGATCTCTCAGGAGTTTGTGTGTCTCATCCTGTGACAAGCACAGACAGCCCTATTTTATAAATAGAAATCCCAAAATTCAAAGAAATAAGAATGTCCCACAGTTCAAAGTGACATAGGAGGCCTAATTTTTTATGTGGTAGAAAAACCAGGCCAAATATAAGCTTCTAAAATCATTCTGAACCAGTCTGGTTCTCTGGCTTAAAATTCTAGAATTTTGATCCTCGTTTTTATTTTGAAAATTTTAGGTCCTCTTAACATTGTGAATATTCTTGAATTATTTCTGTAACTTATATTATTTCCAAGTTAGTGAAATAAAGTATGATTGCAGTTGCTTTATAAAAATATTTTGGTTAAAAAATATATATATATAGGTTAACCTCTTTATTTTAAAAAAGAAAGTATTTTGAAAAACTATTTTTATGTACACTCAAATCATTAAGAAAAGAGATATACCACATACAGTAGTTGTGTTCTAAAATATTGCCTTGTTCTCTATGTTGACCTAATGCGCAGCTTAATTAAGATCTAATTTTAAAACTAGGTTTTAACACAAATACAACTGAGAATAATAATTTGAAACCAGAGAATAGTAGTATCTCAATGCTTAAAAAGAAAAATAAAATTAAGGATTATCTAACCATAATCATGCAGAGATCATTCTCAGCTAAATACCATATTCACTGTCCTTTTAATATATGCATATATTTTAATACCATAAGGGAGATGCTGGTATCATACCAGCAACAACAAAAAAGGGACAAAATTAAGGCAATTGAAAACAACACATCACAGTTATGACAATTTAATAACATTTAAGTATAAAATATTTTTAAGATTTTTATAAAACCTCAAAAAAACTCAAAAGTTAATATGTATTGTAGTAACTTCTTAACATTTTTCAGAGCCCAAACAATTAAAAAAAAAAACTTTTCTAATAGTATCATGTTACTGAAACTATTTTATCATTCTTCTTTGGTTTTATAAGGGAAACAGGAAAAAGAAAAACTTTTAGATGAGTAATTTGGGAAATTTTACTTCATTTATTTCATTTTCTGCATCAGAGATGGGGAAAACATTAAATATTTAAAATATTATGCAGAATTATCATAAATATTACTTTTACATTCAAACAATAAAAAAGCAAATAATTTGAAATAGTATACATTTGAAAAAATACTAAACTGTAAAAATCTTTCCACACAGTTTTTAATCTGCGTTTTCAATATTTTTCTATATTACATCCCTTTATCTCAGATTGCATAATAAATACAATTTCTAAGGAAAACTATTAGTCATGTGATCTGGTAAAATACAAATTAAGAGTATTTCTTAGCCATTCCATATTTTGAACTTCCATATAGTGAACTATTTCCCTGTAACCTGCTTTATTCTGAAGTTATTTAAAGGCCTTCTAACTTCTGCAGCCACTTCCACACCACACTGAGAACTAGAACTGCTGGTTGACATAACCGCTATAAAAACAGCTCGTTCATTTGGGCACGTGACTTGTAAACTTCAGTACTTAGTGCTGTCAATGCCTCAATCCACACATTGTGCTCACCCTCAGCATTTTACAACTTAAAGAGAAATATAGCAGTAAGTGGTTTCTGGAGAACATTTAGCAATTGACCATGAAAATGTCTTTTTCCACTAAATTGCTAAGTTTAAATAACATAATACCCAATTGTCAAAAATTATATGTTTCAATTGAAAACCTATATAGTTAGCCAACTACCTAACATCGAAATATAGATATATCACAATATTTCATCACAGTATTAACCAGATTTAACTCAAGCACATTTTAGTTTGGTCAAATATCAGTACTAACAATGTAATTCTTACTTATCCGAAACTTATATAATGATGACAACATATCTCAGTTTTCATTCCAGCGATAAGTCATAATAACATAAAGCCAACAAAAATGTAACTTTTCCTATTTTTCAATGGATTCTATCTTTAAGTAAGTGGTCACTTAATTTCTACCTTTTTAACTTTATTTTTATCTGAAAAAAATATGAGTCCTAAAAATCACTATTTAAGTGAAAGATACTAAAGTAGAAGATTGAAACTCATTCTTGGGCTTATTACAACCTTTTCTTAGCCTCTTGGTTTCAAAATTTTTTCATGGGATTGTTAAACTGGAATTTCACAGTATATAGCCATCAATTTGAGTTATTTAATCTGCAGCATCTTAAACTTTAAAAAACAGCTGCTTCTTCTGCTATGCCATGCTCTTCATATGCATTATTTATTACTCAAAATTACATATCATGTGCACTACGGAGAAACCAGAAACAAGGAAACAGTTTTGTAGCTCACAACAAGTCAAAGAGTTGAATCACCACACTTTATTTTTTTATGCCATTGGACAAACAATTTTCTCACTAATGGTCAAAATCAAAAGAGCCATTGTGGAAGTTGTAAAGATCTCATTAATAATATAAGTTAGTGTTTCATCTATCAGCAGATCATACTACAGTTGGTTACTGCTTACAGAATTAGCAGGTTTCAAGGAAAACTTTTCTCTTTCTTATTTTATGTGAAAATGCATTGACTATTAATGTTAATAAAACCCTGTTTTATATCAAGGTTGAAGAAATAAGTGAGTCAAATGGTGCGGAAAAAGTTTGACATCCAAAATATTTTTCTATATTACCTCCCTTCTTTTACCCACTAAAATGGCTAAACAGAATATACTTATAACCAAAGTAAATTTCTATGGGAAAGAACTATAGGGATCAACACCAAAATGAACGTATGTCAATATTTTTCCTCAAAATTTCAATCTACTAAAAATTGTAGACAGCTAGCTATCTTTAAAGTTCAGAGACCGATAATGACTTCTAGAATCAGCAAAAAAAGCAGATTACCATCTTATATTTCACAAATAACCCCTCACTGTAAAAAAAATTAAACTTTGTGAAATATAAGAACAAATATTTGAATGTCACTTTAAATGCTGCTGCTGCCTAGAAATGAACCACTTAAATATTTTCTCTGTGTGGAAGGAAGGCAGTGCATGTGGGCTATGACCCTTGAAATTAAGAATATTAATATCCCAAGGCGATGCACAGCACAAAGTGAAGACGTGCTGTGTCTTAAAGAAGGCTGCATACTATTGGTAAAAGTTAAGTTGCAGAAGTGGTTTGATTTATTAACAAACGAGGAATGCAACAAACTTGGCTTTCATCCACATTTTGTGAAGACTATTTTGCCTTAGTGTACGCTAAGCAAGGCAGATATCTTGATGCATTTTAAGCCACAGGCCACCTATATGCCAATGGATTACATAGTAAGTAGAAAGAAAACATCTCATACTACATGATGTTTGCCACATTGAGGACAGCTGTCAGCAACACACTCTTATTCCCAGACCATTCTTAACCACTCCACCTGCCTACCCCACCAGGACAACTGCGACACCTGGGTTAACAGCAGGAGAAATGAGAGACTTCAACTTTCCAGGGGATAAATAAAAAGCTGTTGCCAAGCAAAAATGTACTACAGAAAAAACTATAGCGTGGTTTTTAAGAACAGACTTCACAGTTGCAATGATTTACTAGACCCAAATTGGTACAGGAAATCAGGGGGAAGGCAAAAGCTGATCCTTGTAAGTGAACTTGAGCCAAACCCAGACCCACCTGCACAGATAAGCATAGGTTGCCTTTCACCCACTTTAGTCAAAATCAACCAAAGACCCGCAGAGAGAGCTCACCTCCTCTCTCCACCTCCTTTCCTAGCTCATTTTGCATTTCACCATATTGTTGAGTGCTGTCTCAAAAGAACAACTTGCTTATACCTCAAAGTCTCTAGGGTCCTATTACCTCAGCTCCGCAAAAACTTAGCAGAAAGCCCGAGGTGACCCTACCTCCTCCTGTGTGTCGGGTCGCTACCAAATCCTCTTGGCATCTTTATTCTGGGTGAGACTGACTTACCTGCTCCCCGGGCTCTGAAGATTTCAGCAGGTGATTATCCTTGTACAGACACCAAAGACCGATATTAGGCAAGAAAATTAAAGCCATCATGAACAACACAGTCATCTGTAGAAACCTCTTCTGTTTTCTCTTCATGGCAAATGGTAACAGAGGAGGAAAAAAAGTTAAAGGAGACAGTTCCCTGACTGCTTCTTCCGTGGAGTGCCAAAGTCTTTTCCTGTCCCCTGCGAAGCACCAGAAACCCAGAAGCTACAAACTTTGGTGGTGTCCCGGCGCCACCGATCTGCACGGCTCACGAGGAGTTGGCCATCTACAGAGCAAACGCACAGTCACTTTCGCCCCAGAACACCATGACGAAGGCACTACCTATTGGTTTAGACATAGGGGACTCGACTGAGGAATCGTTAAGCCTTCAGATCTCCCCTCATGTAAAGCAATGGGGTAAATAACGCTTGCCTTCCAAACCAACGCTTGTGATGAAGACGTCAAGAACGTGCTGGGGACTTAAGCAAAAAGCGAGGTCTTCCTATTTTTCATTATTTGTGCCCCCCCCCATTAGTGTGGGAGGGCTGGGTTGGGGAGGAGCGGGTTAAGAGGGAAAACTGAGCAGAGTCTGTGGCCCAGTCCCCTGAAGTGTCGGGAGGGAAGGTGTCCACTTATGACATTGGGACATCCATCACCTCCTCTTCTTCTCTGGACGTGTCTTGCTGCCCTGCCCTGGGGCTAACCCACCTGAGCTCAAGTTCGACTCCTCCCCGGGGGGGCAGTGTGCCCGGGGGCTTCCGCTGGGATGCGAGGACGGACGCCGGGTTCGGGGTAGAAGCCTTTTCTGGACGGAGGTACAGGGACTCCGGGATCTGCCCCCTGCGCGGTCTGGACGCGCCTCTGCGCCCTGGGAAGGCGATGGAGACCAGGCTACAATGTTGGCGGGGTCCAGCCCGGGGCGGAGGCGCCGTCCCCTTCCAGCCACTATCAGAATGTGACCCTCCTCCGCGAAGCTAGCGCTCTGCTCAGTGGGTGTCTCCACTTCCTCCGGGGACGCTCTCGCGCGCCGTTCTTCATGTCACCATACTCTCCCGGCAACTGGACGAACCCACGGGAGCATCACAAGCACCTAAAGGGCAATTTTTTAAAAATCTCCTCTTCGCGCCTTGCAAAGGATGGCGGGGTGGCGAGAACCGGAGCCTAGGCTGGACGCCGACTCGGGCGAGGGCGCCCGGGAAGGGGGGGGGCGGGGGGGCAGCCGAGGCAGAGACGCGCCGCAGCTGCGCCCGCACCCGGCGCCGGCTCCGCGCCCCCAGTCGCCTGCCTTCCGTGGAGACGCGGCCGGTGCCCACCACGTGCGGGAGCCAGAGCCTGGGAGGGGCGGGAGGGCCGACAGGGCCCGGGGGCGGGGAGGCGGGCGAGTCCTCACAGCTTCCAGACCGTGAAGGTACAGAGCCAGCGGCGAGGGTGACGGAGAGGAGGGCGAAGGCGCCGCGCGAGGTGGAGGAGGGCTTGGAGCTCCCAGTCCGCGCGGGTCCTCTTTTTCCCAGCCAGGGCTTTTCTGGACCACCTGGGACCAGCAGGGATGCCAGCCCCCGCCCGAGCCATCTCAGCCGAAGGACACCAGGCCAGAGAGCCCCAGAGAAAAGCCGGCGGCCCCACGCTGGTGTGGCGTGGATCTGTCCATGGTTCTGGCGGGAGCGCAGGGAGTGCGGCGCGGCGGCGGCAGCCGGAGACCCCGAGCTGGGTCGGGCAGCAGAGATGGTCCCCTCCACCCTGGGCCACGTTCCGGCTGTTCTGGCCAGGTATGTGGTGGGAGGAGGAAGAGGGGAGGGAAAAAGAGGAGGAGGATTCCGAAGCGAGGCAGGGCTGAGGCTCCGGGTAATCGGGAAGCAGCTTCTCCAGGCGGCTCCGTTTGAGCCTGCAAACACCCAGGCCTGGGGTGAGACGCGGCCGCGGCCCCCGCTCCTGTGCCCTGTGCACCCGCGCTCCGCGCTTCTTCCCGCTGCGAGGGCTACCTGTCCTCACACTGTCCTCCGTGATGGCCGGGAAGGGAGGGAGGGCAGAAGATCCAGATAACTCTCAGGCAGATGGCACCCCTCTCTCTCCCTTTAACGCATCCGTGCACCCGCGCCCCGGACCGCACGAGCACAAGGCTGGGGCTGCCGCCTCCTCGCCAAGGGACCGGCGTGCCTGGCACCGGGCACTGGGGCACTCTGGGGATCCACGGCTGGTAACTCCCGAAGGATTGGGGGCTTAGAGGAGGCGGCAGACACGCCTGCAGCTCAGTCTGTATCCGCCTGTCTGGAGCCAGAAAGCAACACCCCTCAGTCGCCTCTTTGTTGCGACCTGGGTATGACAGGATGTCCACGCGCTTGAAATAGACATGCTTGGGGAAGGTGGGACCGCGCTCGGGCTGCGACTCCTTCTCCTACGTCTCCCTTCTTTTCCCGTCTCTGTCCCTCCCGCCTCTTCTCCCCTTACCTCCTCCTCCCCTTCTCTCTTTCTGTCTCTCTTTCTCTCTCTCTCTCTTCCTCTCCTCTCACTTGAGAAAGACTTCAGTGTGAAGAATTATGCCTTAAACTCTTCGTATTGTACATTTAAAAATGTATTTAAATAGCATGGATCACCTGTATGACAGGAGGAATAAAGCTTTGTGCTGTAGTGTTTGTTTCTGTGAATCTCTTGCATTTCAAAACCGAGTATAAAAATACATTTTTAAATGGTTTTGAATGTGTCCTTGATATAAAGACTAATTACCTTTGAATTTCCCAAGAGCAGGACCTGGAGAAGGGGCTTGATGCCCAGCGGCCTCCCCCACACACGCAGTTCCTTTTGTTGTACTCTGTGTTATTTTCTAACCCGTTTCTCTCCAAGCAAATGCAGTTTCAAAAATAAAAATATAGACTCTGGAGAGCCATACAGAAAGGAAAAGTTTTCCAGGAATGTTGTTCAATTTTCAAGAAAAGGAACTGAAGAACTATTTTAAAGTACTGGTTCTTTGGGAGTTTATCAGTACAGCTATTAATTTAAAAAGTGAAGAACTCTAAGGTGCACTTGGATTTTAAAAATTAAAACACTTCCCATTTAAAATACCAGTTTCTTCATGCTTTGAGAACAAAAGTCCTGAATGAAAAATAGACATTTCATGTCCTAATCCAAGGTGCTGAGTTGAATTGTGCTTCCTTTTGACCACACTAGTAAATGCCCTTGCAAACAGCTCCCGTCCACAGGATGCTATTAATTACAGTGAATGGACATCATAACTATCACTTTCCTAATTAAGTGCATGCCAGATACATGGTACAGACAGATAAGAGAAAATTATTATGCTCACCTCTGCTGTTACAGCCTAGCTCCAGCTTAGCTTTTTTTTTTCCTGTTGAATTTATTTACTTATTTCCCTTTTCACTTCAATCTGATCTTCTTTTACAACTCCACAGGTAAATTACCAAGATGTGAGAATGCCTATAACTAAAATTTATATTTGAGGTTGAGTTTACAAATAAACAAACACTCCAGATGACCATTAATTCCTTTGCTCAGATAATCCAGATGAAATACCACCAATATAAATGTGTGTGTGTGTGTGTGTGTGTGTGTAAGCATAGATGCATAGACATAATCTTTTAAAATTTTGACTTCTGCCCACTCTGAGATGGGATCACTCATTTTCTTCTTGCTAATACATTTAAGTTCTCTATGGATTCTGGTTATTAAACCTTTGTCGGAGATATAACCTGCAAAAATCTTCTCCCATTCTGAGGGCTGTCTGCTTGCCTTACTTACTGTGTCCTTGGCTGTACAGAAGCTCTTTAGTTTGATCAG